TGCTCATTACCTGCTTCAGCAGTAAGAGGGAGGTGCTGCAGGTGCCTCTCAGCCCCACAGGGGTTGGACCCACAGCTCTGAAACATACCCTGTCCATCTGGCTAGGGGTACAGCAGGGTGGGAAACAGGTGGGAGGCACTCTTACCAGCAAAGCTGTGACCTGAGCTGAATGCTGAAGGTTGGCTGTATGTGGCTTGAGCATGCCTATGGGACTGAGTCCTTTAGAGCACTGACACAAAGAGATGGTCTAGTTCATGAACACCAAATCATTTGTGGGTGGAGGAGCAGTTCAGATGTTCAGGCAAAAGTAAGTTGTCACACCCCTAGGCACACACTACATCTGGTAACTGAATAAACTGTAGGAGGGAAGTTAGGATCTTCATTTAAGGTCTCTTATCTTACAGAGTTAGGACAGAAATTTTGGGGTGCTATCAAATTTTACGCACAAAAATTAGCTTTTATGTTTCTGTCTTTGCCTCAGTGTCACTTTGGATCTCAGCCTGCAAGCAAGTAACTCCTACTATGAATCCTCTGCAGGTACTAGATTGTGCATGAGACACAGCTGCAGGGCTATGATACAGGAAGGAGGTTTTATCTGATCAAATATAGACATATATTTCTAAGTGAGTTGCCTGAGGCTCCATTTACAGTCACTGAAGAGGAACTCAGATCTCCTGGGCACAGAGTCATCCTACTGCAGAATCAAAAAGAAATCAGATGAATCACTCCATAAAAAGTGCCCTTATTTCTCTCAATTGACTACAATGACAGCCCGGGTTGACTGGCTTGTGTGTAGACTCTACGCTGCAGATGTTTAAAGTCAAGTAAGATTATTTCTAACCAAAAGGGACCACAAGTATCTTTCTTTTCCTTTTTCTCTAGATGGATGTTTCATTGGCCATAAGATTTGTTACCTGTTTGCATTTAGTCATACATTCAGCATTGCACAGGTATTCAAGATCAACAACCAACAGAGCAAGATCATTTAACTCTGACCTTTCTCACCATGGTTTGCATACTTACCTATCCACAGAACCTCACGTATGTATCACAAATAGGCATAGCCTCTTCTGGAAAAGTAGCCTGGCTTTACCGACAAACAAGGAGAAGGTCAGAACTACCTGTCACGCATAGCCATTCCAAGGCCTGGAGCAAATTAATCATATGATCTGCACCCCAGACCACCCTGCAAATAATGCATCATATGCCACCTTCTAGTTTAAGGTATTGTTTTTGACCATTTCAAGTAACAGATATCCAATGGCCAATCATAACAACTTTTAGAATAGAGTCACAACAGCAATCCCATAAAATGCGGTACGACACTGTCACACAAGGAATTAAACAGCAATGCCAGTGTCATTTATGTTTTAATGTTTATACACCCTGGCAGGTTTTCTCCATTCTTCCGCACAGTACCTGTTTGGATATGTGACATTAGGTGGTGCTCTCCCCGGGTAATTCTCATTAAGCCATCGATTTGCAAGCGCCTGCTGGATGTTTGGTCTCTTTGCAGGATCTGGCTCTAGTAGAGATCGTAGAAAGTTTACAGCCGCTGTGAAGAAATCAAGAAAAACAACAGCTATGTTATACGCTTTATGGTAGTTGAATTACTACAGGTGTGTGCCTGACAAAGAGTATGCTGGAGAGGAACGCTTTCCTTATGGTATGCTCTAATGTCCTTGAGAAAAAGGAAAACCTTATAACGGATTAGTAAGTAAAATAAACAACGATTTATAGTCAGAATGATTTATAGAGTCATAAAGGAGAGAAGAAAAAGCACCTTTTGTTTCAGAGCTTGTTTGAAGTTTCTGAGCAGGTTAACCAAAACTTAATTTTTTGATGAGGACAAGAGCCTGTAGCCAGGTCAGAGGCAAATCACTCGATCTGTGTTTAAAGTAGAAGGAGGTGGACTGGGGGTGAGTGGAGGGGAGGGATGCAGAGCTTGGAGGGAAGGCATGGAGAACTGGGGTCCCTTTGACATTATAAGGACAAATTCTCTCCTGGCTTCTACCCAAGCTACAATCAGTTGCAGGGGGGTTTTGTCAAATTAAGAGTACAGTAAAATTAATGGACTTTGTTCTGTTTTCAGATACGGAACCTTCAGCTTGCAGTGACATTCAACCATCCCTCAGGAGTTTCTTGCAAAAACCCTCAGAAGTACTTTTCTGATATGTTTAAGTCATGTGCTTCTTATATGGTTAGGAGCAATGAAATCAAGTAATTTGTTTAAAGACTCATAAGAAGTGTATATCTGAGCTGAAAATAAACTCTGTTTTAACTAGGTTTGGTCTTTATTCCTCAGATTATAAAGGTTAGATGCAGTTTATCGGCTACAATATAGTAAAGAGTTAACTGTCCTCTACAGTTCGCTGCACGAAAGATAAAGAAACCTAATTCTGGGAAAACCAAGATTGGAATGATTTTGTAGAGGAGATAGACAAGTGAGACAATGCCAAATGACTCCCAAATGAAGTCAATGGCAAGCAAGAGGCAGAAGTGATGGCTACAGCACAGTTTTCTCGAGGTCAGATGGACAGGACCTTGGGGGCTTTTTTCCACCTTTTTCCACAGCAGAGCTGCAGTACCCCTCCTACGCTCTCCTGAGCATGTCGTGTCTACTTGTCTCCTTTCTAGCACAGGTGCCCTGGGCAGTGGCAGCACATCTCTGGCACGAGATGGTGTCCTCTGGGATGTGTCTTCTGGGTAAGCTGCAGTACAGCCTTGCTAACACAGCTACTTCAGCTCAACGCAGGCAAACCAAACCCTTTTAAAGGCTTGTGCTACAAAGCAGATCAAACTGCATGTCCTAACATTGTCAAACATTGGAACAGGCTGCCCAGGGAGGTGGTAGAGTCACCATCCCTGGAAGTGTTCAAAAAACATGTAGATGTGGCACTTCGGGACATGGTTTAATGGGCATGGTGGTGTTGGGTTGACGGCTGGAATTGATGACCTTAAAGGTCTTTTCTAACCTTTAAGATTCAATGATTCTAACGCCTCAGTGCTAGAAAACTCTGAAATTATGAGCCAGTCCTCCCGTTCGGCTTTATAGCTGCTTGGCCAACTTAAGAAGAATAATACGCCTGCCCATGAGGCTATGATGTCCTCATCTGAAAAGGGCATAAATGCTTACCGAGGCACAGTGCCGCTGCCCTTCACAGATTCTCCTCTGTGAGACTGCTGCCATCCTTCATGTTTGCCTAGTTGTCCCCCCGAGCATTTTTATCCCCCTGAGCCCATCTGCAGCAGCCCTCACCCACAGTACAGGACAGGATGGCTGGGCTGATGTGCCATGGCAGGATGGCAGACGAGGGAGGGAGGGTTTCTCCTCAAATAAATCAGGGTTAGACTTGATGGATGCTGACTCCGAACAGCTTGGGTAAGCTTGGTGTTCAACATCCTTCAAAAAATCAAGCATCAGCTGGAGAGGGCCCTGGGAGACTATACATTTCAATACAGGCCTACTGTCAAGCTTGTATGTGGAACAGAGAGAGTTACAATTATGTATTTACTGGTTCAGCTAGGCATCGGCTGGGTTTTTTCTAAGCTCTGTCTTCATAAATCACTGATTTATGTGAGATTACTTTACTTTAAATCTTTCCCAATGTTTTTATTATTTTCCTACAACAGCAATATTGTGTCAGCAGCAGGAAAAACCTACATCCAAGTTCATAAACCTGCTGGAAGCTGATGCTATGACTGCTCTCTGAGTGTTCTGAATGCGCCTCCCTGCCCCGTCATGCCTCTCGGGCGCAGATCCCTCCCGTTACAGCAAACAACAAACCCCTTGTTCTTCCATTTGATCTCCTCTCTCTCCAGCACTTCCGCTGTCTCAGAAACCACATGTATCCCACGGGTTCAGAGCAAAGTAAATAATTCGTTCCCAAACTAACACCACTCCCATCACCACAATACTTGGTCCCCAAATCACAGAATCACAGAATCACTAAGGGTGGAAAGGACCTTCAAGATCATCAAGTCCAACCATTAATCCAGCGCCACCGTGTCCCCTAAATCAAGTCCTGAAGCGCCACATCCACACATTTTTTTGAACACCTCCAGGGATGGTGACTCCACCACCTCCCTGAGCAG